CTAACCTCTTCTTTTACTCCACAAATATATCTTGGACTTCTCTCTTCTTTGTCATAGTATACACCCAACAACGTCTATAATAGTCATCAATGAACATGACGAACTACTACTTACAGAACTCAACCTTTCCACTCTTGGCTCCCTTAAATAGACCCTACTTGCATAGCGCTTGTAGTGACTTTTCTCCTGTGTGCCCCAGCCTGTAGTGTCAAAATCTGCTCATGTCTGCTTCTGAAATAGTTGAAGCAACCTGGCCAATCTCGTTGTTCCTCTTCAGATAATATAAATTCTTACTACGGACTCCCTTCATCACCACTAAACATCCCTTAGTAACTTTTGTTACAACATTCTCAAAGGTCACCTTGAATCCTTTCGCCTCCAAAGCTTCAACTGAGATAAGATTCTTCTTTAACTGAGGAACAAATCTCATCTCCTTTAATTCATAGACTACTCCATCGTGCATTCGAATTCTCATGGTATATATCCCACAAATACCACAGGATTGATCATTTCTCATAAAAACAACACCCTATCGAGTCTCTCAAATGATGCAATTCAATCTCGCCTAGGAGTCACATGATAAGTAGCGCCAGAATCAAGCATCCGATCTGATGCATCCACATGGTTCACCTCCGGAATAATCAATAGAGAAAAACCTGAATCATCGGAATCATCGTCTTTCGTAATATTCACCTCATTAGCCTTTCGACCCTTTTTCTTGTCATTCTCTTTCTCTTTGAGCTTTGGACAGTCTCTCTTCCAATGTCCCTAATCCCTGCAGAATGCACATTGGTTCTTTGCTAACTAGTGATGGCCTCTCGACTTTGACCTGTCTCTATTGTCACCTCTCAGATATGGTCTTCTACCTCTGGTCGACAAGGCATCTCCTGAAGTACTAGCGCGAGAAGTCTCCTTATCATTCCTCCTCAAATCATAGTTCATCAAACCGTTAGTTACTTCACTATAGCTGATAGAAGATCTCATATTCAATAAAGTAAGCACAAATGTATCATACTCCTCATCCAGTTAGGAGCCCAAAAGAATAATAGTATCAACGCAGCTTCCAAACCGCTACAAACACAGCTTCCAGACACTGCGTCCGAGCTTCCAGACACTATGTTCGAACACAGAATTTATGTCAGAACGTGGATTTTAAGTTTGAATCGTTCAAATACGAGCTGAACGGTTTCAAAACCGTTTTTCACGATTTGAGGGGTCCACTCCCCCACTTAGGAGCAAATTAAGGAGGCAGTTACACACCTTAATCCCCTATAAATCTCAACAAACTCAACTGAGTTAAGGGCTAGATATTTGGGATTAAGAGAAATCTCTTGGGCAGATCGGATCTTGGCGATCTTTGAGCATTTTTGGATCTAGAGATCAGGAAAGAGCTTAGAGCATTCTTCAGCAACCAAGATCAAGGAGATTTGATATTTGGCTTATTAACTGAATTTCGGTTCAAATCAACTCTTTTTTAAGAGTTTAAACTCGCTTTGAGTTATCAACTCATCAAGAGTTTCAAACTTACCATGCAAGTTTTATCGACTTTAATCCAGCGAAGTGAAACGTCGGATCGTCAACGAGAAGCAAACTCGATGCGAGTTTCGAGGGAGGCATTTCATCGTTACCGTGAAGAACCCAGTTTTAAACAAATGGGAGGATCTCCGTTGATCTTCTTCTCTTTTGTAATCCGGAAAACCGATTGAGGGAATTATAATTTCTTTTTCTAAGTTTGTTAGAGAAAGATTGTGAAAAGAGAATTGTAATTAATTCTTTTTCTGAGTTTGTCAGAGAGAATAATATAAATTCTTGTTCTCAATTTTCTTCTTCAAATTTTCCCACCAAACACCGTCATATTTAACCACACTAATTTTAGTATTCTGAAAACCAACTTGAACTGTACCCATCATCTCGCTGCTTTCACCAACTTCTTCACACATGCTCAC